CCTTCAACTATATCATATTTTTAATCACGTAACGTGGATGATCGACAAGAGTAAATGACGTCCAAACATGATACTCATGATGCGCGTGTCGTGTATTACAAGACTACTTGCTACGCTCATACCGCGCTCGCAGTCATTCTGCTAGCTCCACATATACCAAGTTTGGTATCAGGGGACGGGAATAGACGACGAAGTTAAAGGGACGCTAAAAGCAACAATTAAGTCGCCGTAGATTGTTTAAATTGCAGTGCAGAACCCTCGTAGCGAAAGTTTGCGCCAAGAAATGGTTAATTTTGAAATAAAATCACGTTTTAGTGGTCTGCATCGGGTTAATGCCCTTCAATTTACCCACCTCAAGAAGTGGACCAACCGGACCGACTGACGTCACTGTTGCTGTGCACAACGTTGCCGGGCTTTACTGCGCTAGTAGCAGGAGTGCGAAAGCAGCGCGATCCACAGCAGCAAACGCAGCCATCGATCGATTTCCCGCCATTGGCTTCGAGATTGCAGATGCTTTTGTTTCAACTGCGCACCACTAAATGGCACCACCTGTCCCGTGTGACCACGCCAAATTGAATTTTCGAACCACTCGCGCCATTTGCTATAGTGAAGTCTGCCAGTTATTTTTTTCAACAAATCAAACAAAAAACGAGCAGCATTTTAATACGTCTCTTGATGCAGGGAAGAATCTTTATTTAGTACAGTTAGATCGATTACTAATGATTAATTGTAGGCGGTTCGTCTGATGTAATCGAGATCATTTAAATTGTCTTACTGCGCCGCTTTTGTTCAAGTGCATTTACCTTAACTTCTCAGTAAGTAGGGCACTGTTGTTGATGAAATTGTCGTTTTATATGTTGTCATACATTGAGCTTTCACTCTGATCTAAATTGTTATCTGACTTTAGTGTCCCTTTAAGTGATACGTCCAAACATCATAATAAGCACATCGAAATCACGTACGGCTTAACGTTGTGCTTATTTTGAAAGTGTCATATCCAACGTCCTCATTCGTGCTTCGCATATACTTGATTCCCACAGTTCGTGGGATCTCCCTTTTTTCACAGATATTTGTGTAATTGTGCAACAAATAAACATCTGGTCATGTAGTCTTCAGTAAAACCATCATAATTAACATTATCATCATCATCATCATCATCCTGGCTACGTGCACTGCAAGACAAAGGCCTTTCGCAAGTTCCACCAGTCAACTCGGACCTGCGCTTGCTGCTGTCATTTATACCCGCAAACTTTTTAATCTCATCTGCCCACCTAACTTTCTGTCTCCACCTAACCCACTTGCCTACTCTGGGAATCTGGTTAGCTACCCTTAATGACCAGCGGTCTTCCTGTCTACGTGCTACATTCCCAGCCCATGCATGTCCACTTCTTCTTCTTGATTTCAACTATGATATCCTCAAACCCGGTTTGTTCCCTGATCCACTCTGCTCCTTTGTCTCTTAACGTTACACTTACCATTTTTAGTTCTATTGCTCGTGTCGTCGTTCTCAGTATCAGTGTAACACTGATACTCTATTGAAAACACGTGCTTGGTCTGACACACAAAACCGTCTTTTGGCTCTTGTAATGAGAAGCCGAGATACGGCTTAGTGTGCCGTTTTCTCGCCACTTTATTTAAACGACCACAAGCGGTGGCAGCTGCATAGAGTAGAAGACTGGAAACTGGGGCAGTGGCACACACCCACACTGGGAGATTGGCCAAGAACCAACTAGTCTTAAGACGAAATTCTTAATTATTTGCATAAAGTCATCCAAGTGAAGGTTACGGAAGTAGTAATGTAACAAAATTGCAAGTAATACCGGTCATCATCATCATCAGTCTGATTACGTCCACTGCCAATACCAATAACTATAGATGAGTACAAATATAGGTAGGAACTCTGAGCTGCATTACTTAGGGAGAAAATAGTTACGAATTCATTCGCAATTTAGAAAATTTTGCGAGTTGAATCTACATTATAATTCTTTTTGAACATTTCATAAATTCCGCCAAGGCATTGGCAACTTTCCCGTTACTGTGCCCCAGAGACAAGGCCCCGAACGTGAGCACATTTGGTACATTTAGGTCTAGTCTAAGCAGTGGGCGAACGGAATCGAAAGTACTAATCTGCTACGTGGAACAGCTGTTGCTGGAAATGACATGATGTCCAGTTGCCTCATGTACTCTGCAAAAAGAACAATCAGCAGAAGCTGCCAACCAAGCTGTGCGTAAATAAAAATTATGATGCAAACTCTGTCAACGTAGTCTCGTGGTTGCGTCTTCAAGTCCTCTTTTTCGACATAGATTGCTATTCTACTGGTGTCTTACATGCTGAAAACAAATTGTGGCTATTAGAAATCAAGCGCTAAATTCCTTTAACAACCTTTTTTCTTCACTCTAGCGCCCATTATAAATTTGCACGCTGACAATACAACAGTAACAGGGCTAATCAAAGATGTATTTGCTCGTGCATCTTTCATTCCATTCAGAAATAGGCACTTATGAACTGGAAGCCAAACTAGCTTCATCAAACTTATAGGGAAAGAAATTAAGAACTGCGGTGCACTCAGCCCAAGTGATTCCTCTTTTCCTGAGAAAACCGCCAAAATTACTGCAGAACTTGTTTATGCACAGCTCACACCGTCAGTAGCGTAAGCTCGTACCTTTCAGACCCGTGCCTCGATCTCCACATGCGCTGCGTGAGGGGCGAAACACAGCTTCTAGGAAATTCTAATAATATTCAATGGTGAGAAAGATTAGGCTTCGAATACTGGGACAAAAGTTGGGAAGCCCGAATGATGAGGGGAGTAATGGGATAAATGAACGTAATTGCGCTGGTTTTGCATTGGATTGCGCGAAATTTAGGACAGGTGTACCGCCTAGATTATGCATTATTATTTTGATATATTTAGAAAGTTTCGCAATATTCGTATATTTCTAATCATTAAAAGCGTAGTGCCCATCGTATTATTTCGCATACCATATTATACTCGACAACTTATCTTGGCACCTGAGCGAAGGCTACTGAGCCCGATCACGTTCATCTTATTGCCTGTAAATGTAGTTCCAAAATAGCGCTCGTATAAATGCGAAGCATTTGTTAGCGAACTTCGGCGACTTTGAGCATATCTATCTATCTATCTATCTATCTATCTATCTATCTATCTATCTATCTATCTCTATCTATCTATCTATCTATCTATCTATCTATCTATCTCTATCTATCTATCTATCTATCTATCTATCTATTTATCCAGCCGCCTACGACTTTTAACTCTCCAGGCCGTTCTGATAAGGGTATCGATAGCAAATTGGTATGGCATAACATGGCTGTATAAAGAACATATTTGACTAGTAATAACATGAAAATTATCATATGTATGTCATGAATGTGATAATTTACATTTTATGGTCCTGCAGCTCCTGCAGTGGTTTCGTTCACACGGCATGTTGCAAAACTGGTATGGTATGACATGATTGCATGGCGAACATAAGTGACAGACCCTAACATGAAAATAATGACACTCGTGTGATGTAACAACATGACTACATGCCACGCTCATGATGCACTCGCAGCCGTTTCCCTCGCGTCACATACACCAAATTTGGTATTACGGGCCGTGAATGGATGACGAAGGTATGTGACTAGTACAAACATGATAATCATGAGATGCGTGTCATGTAACAACTCGACTACATGTCACGTTCATGACGCGCTGGTGGCCTTTGCGCTAGCTTCACTTATAGCAAATTCGGTATTACAGGACGTGAATGGATGACGAAGGTGTGATACTGGTGCAAACATGATAAACATGAGATGCGTGCCATGTAACAGCATGACTACAAGCTATTCTAATGATGCACTCGCGGCCGCTTCACTAGCTTCACATGTACCAAACTCGGTATTACGCGATGCGAACGGACGACATAAGTAAATGACACATCCAGACATGATAATTCCAACATGCGTGTCACGTAACAACATGTCTAGAGGCCACACTCATTATGCGCTCGCGGCTGATTCACTAGCTTCAATTATGCCAAATTTTTATTACGTGATGCCAATGGATGACGAAGGTATGTGAGTGGTGCAAAAATAATAATGATGAGATGCGTGTCATGTGAGTGCGAACAACTTTATTATGGTCCAGTGCAGACGCTGAGGTTGCCATGCGTCACCCGGCTACTCCCAAGTGGTACCGGCAGGTCTAGCCTGACGGCCCTGTCGCGGGCACACTGGACGACCAGGATTTGATCCTGAAGTTCTGGGCTGTGCAGAAGCGCATCCCACTCGGGTTGGCTATAAGTCGGTCTAAGCGACCCGCACTCCCAGAGCATGTGTGCTAATGTAGCGGTCTGCCCGCAAGCGGCGCAGGCGGCATAGGGAAACTTGTGAGGATAAATTGCGTTTAGGTATGCTAACGACGGGTACGAATGGGTTTGAAGTAAGCGCAACGAGACGGCCTGTGCTCTATTGAGTTTTGAATGTGGCATTGGGAATGCCCACCTCACCATGTAGTAATACTTCGTAATCTCGTTGAGTGTAGTAGGTGTGTCTTTATGTCCCACGTCATCGGCACTGGAGCCGTCACCCAGGTCGAGAGCAGCGCGGTCAGTAAGCGCGCACGCTGCTGAGTGGGCCGACTTCTTCGGGTTCAGTGCAACGCCGTTTACGGAGCCGACATGCGGGGAACCAATTTTTTGTGAGCGACAATCATATCGCTGGTGGAGCTGTTCAAGATCCTGGCTGCCTCTGTTGATATGCGGCTCTTTTGAAAGGCTCTGACTGCGGCTTTGGAGTCGCTGTACACCTCTTCGCACTGATCATTTAGCAGAGTGAGTGCGATGGCCACTTGTTCGGCCACCGGGGTGTTCGTGGTGCGTACCGTGGCGCAGTTTGTAGTCGAGCCCATCTGGTCCACGACCACCGCTGCGAAGTTTTTGCCGTCTCGATATGCTGCAGCGTCAACAAAACCTGCATTTACGCCACCTTTTCCCAGTTGCTTCAGAAGAGCCGTCGCCCTTGCCCGACGACGTCCCTCGTTGTGTACAGGGTGAGTGTTGCGGGGTTTTGAGGCAACAATGATGTTTTTCTGCATATGTTTTGACATACGCATGCTATTTTTTTCCAGCTCCATAGGGTTAAAACATAGCTCGCCAAGTATGCGCTGACCATCCGTCGTAGTGGACAAGCGAGCCAGCTGCGAACGTTGCTGCGCTTCCGCTACCTCGGCAGCAGAGTTGTGCACACCAAGCGCGAGCAAGTTCTCGGTGTGTGTGCGTACGGGAAGCCCCAGTGCTTTCTTGACGATCTTTCTGATAATCACGTCGAGCTTGTCTCACTCCGACCTAAGCCAGTTTGTGCATGGCAATGATTGTCAAGTGAGAACAGTAATACATGCCAACGTCAAGGCACCAATACATTTCGATATGACGCGGTGCGGGTGCTCGCCGGCGTTCATTTTGTTGCGTCACGCTGGCGTTGCCACGCCAGGCGCCGGACCAGCCATATACTTGTAGGCGCGCGCCGTGCTGCGTTGCTTTGACGCATACGTGTTTCAGCGCGTCCGGCATCCCTCCATCACGAAAAGAGGGAGATTCAGTGTTGTCTGGCAACGTTGTGTCTGGGTAACGCATCGGCATAGAGTAATGTTATTCTATGGCATCAGCGCGAAATGCAGCATGTCGCAATTTGCACCGGTTGCCGTCGGGCCGTTCTGACGGACGCTGGTCACGCCTTGTGTCAGGCTATAGAGTGCTTTACATTTACATTTTTTACATTTTATTGAGGTTGTTATGACCACATTTCAAGAAATGCACAACACTGATTAGACCCATAGCCATAGGCTAGTAAGGGGTCTAACGGGTTAAAGTATACAAGCATAATATAATTTGTATATAAGGAAAAAATCAAAACATCAAAAAACGTTGATTTTTCAGCAAACGAACAAAAATACAAGAAGATACACATTGTTGCCCTTTGTTCATAATTAATGAAATAACCAAGTATAGAGAAAACATCAAACTATGCGTAAGGCTTAGTACATGGTCATTACTATTGATCTACATGTAGCAAATATTTTTTGAGCGTGCTCGAGAAAACCCTAGAATCTTTAATCTGAAGTGGGATGTTATTCCACACTTTAGCTCCTACGAACTGTAGTAAGCGTTCACATATACGTTTTTAGCGGGTGGAAGATGAAAATTCCGCAATGTCATGCATCTAGTGACACGGGACGAGGAAGAAAAGATAGATATATCGAAAGGTACACTGTGTGCAATAACATTGTTGATGGTGACTGTGGTTTTATGCTGCCGTATGTAATCAAAAGGTAGTATACCCAACTTGCTGCCGTATGTAATCAAAAGGTAGAATATCCAACTTGTGAAACAAAGACTCACTGGGTTCATTATATGCCGCGTAATCTATAATTCTAAGTGCTCGCGTTTTGCTAACGTAGCGTATCTGTGCCGAGCGTGCGCACGCGTCAACGCTATATTGGAGTATATTGTGCCCTTCATGATATTCTCGCGGCCATTTTGCCAGCTCCCCATATACCAAATTTCGTGTTACGTGACGTCAATTGATGATGAAATATATGACTGGTGCAAACACGATAATCCTGATACGCGTGTCATATATGAACATGACAACCTACCACGCTCAAAGCATGCTCGCTGCCGTTTCGCTAGCTCCGCATACACTAAATTTGGCATCACGTGACGTGAATAGATAAGGAAAATAAACGACACATCTAAACAAGGTAATCATGAAACGTAAGTAATGTATGGCATCAATTACCTCCATCTCATAACGTTCCGATAATTTGAAGTTGGCATATCAACATTTCTCATTCATGCTTCGCGTATAATCGATTCCCACTGTATGTGGGATCTGCTATTTTTTTTCAACGTGGAATGTAAAAGCCCGTCCATTGGTTTCTATGAGGAGCTATTTGAGACAGGACACCACTCACAGCAGTAAGGGATGCTATGACCGCACGTAGCGAACGGACGCGAGGAATATCGGCTGTGTCGATTTTCGAATGAAGCCACGAACCTCTCTACCGGACTTCTGAAATGTTGTGGCCTTTGGGCCCAGCAAGGTCCCTGGACCACGGAGACATCTAATTTGTCAAGGTGGGCCGATGTATCAATACATTAAAGTGACTTCACCATCTCGCCTCGCGGTGCCAACGCTTTGTCTAACGGCTCAGCCAGCGTCCGGCAGCGTGGAAGTGAACGCTCATGCCAAAATGGGCACTTGTTCAACTAAACGTGGCTACTCTTGAGAAAATGACATAGGCGACTGAACAGAGCCATCCGCCATGAAAATCTGTTTCGTCTTGCTGAGAGACGCTCCCAGAGACGAAAGGCCAACATGATTGCGGCCGCCACCCAGGCCCCTTCAGGAAAGCAGCCATCCAAACCACCAGCTCCAACCTCGCCCAAGGCAAAGGGGCATTCCACGCCAGCTCGGGAGCCGAAGCCTCTTCGAAAGTTCGACTCGGACGTCATTTTATTGTCTTAAAGCCCCTGACTACTCTAGCGCTCGGAACCACTTTCTAACCTGGTGAGCTCGACGTGTCCTTGTGCACATACCTTGGCGCACAATTAACAGCAGACTTTAGCTTTGTGCATGCTCTCCCGTGAGCAGAACCTCCTTTTCGCAAATACCCAGAATGCCCACGTGGCCGACCGCCTTCTTGGGGACTTCGTCATCTTTTGCTTTACCGAAGTTGTATTAAGAAAAAAACAAGTAGTCCGAATAACGCACTATCGGGATTTCGCAGATTTTTCACTTACGTCTTGTGAAATTAGCCAAATATTGTATTTGCCAAATTGTATAAATTAGCCAAATAAGTGAATTAGCCAAATGATGTAAATACTTAGCCGTACTTGAGAGAGGATGAAAATATACGCTTATGACAAGTATGTGCAAATTGATATAAAGACAGAGGTATACACTGCCACAGCCTTCTGCATATGTACCCACAGCTGCACAATAAGTTTGTAAAAATAGTTAAATCACACATGACAAAAGATTAATAGACATGATATGACGAATACGTGCAAGATGAAATAAAAACATACGAGTGAAATACGACATGCAAATAGTTTCACCGTGACGACACACATCGTCAAAGACGCATTTAGATCCCCGTAGCGCAACAGCTCAAGTTCGGTGGCCGCAGCCGTAACTCTGAGGCGCCGCGAACCACCGTGCCCCTAACAAGTCGGCGAGTTCTAAGCAAGCAAACCTCGAAAAGGAGAACGAGCTTACGCTGAGCCGCTGCCACGAACAGCGCCGAGCTGCTTTGGAGCGAGCGCCGCAGAAACCGACGGTAATGCGGCCCTTTTTCACTCACACTCGAGCGAGTGTGTCACTGCACTCACACTCGAGTGAGTGTGAGTGCAGCGAGCAAACGCTAGTCCACCGCCGTGGCCGCTGCCAACGGCCTGCGCCGAGCTGCTTGCGACCGATTGACGGGGAAGCCAACTGTAATGGTGCCCAGTTTTCGCATACTCCATTCCAACGCTACCTAAAGCCCAACCAGCCCGGGACGGTGCACTTACAGCGTGCGACAAACTACAACCTGGTTACGA